TATAGCACAATAACAAACTAGGGTTAATATCCGCACGATTAGCCACATAGGCAATTATGTCATCCGACGTTACAGTGGATACAAACGATGATAAGTGCAGCCATTTGCGACGAACTATTACACCCAGCTGGGTTTCAACATTAGAGCCGATAATACGATGATTACGCTGATTTTGTTTTTTATGTCGCCTATTAGCAACAATAGACCACTGTGCATTATCTGTTTGCCCTTTATCAGTCGCACTTTCAGCTTGTATATTGTCATCATTAGCACCATTAGCACCTGACGAATTGCCCACGGCAGAACCAGAAGCAGCATTCTCAACACTATCATTAGCAGAAGCAGAACTAGAAGCAGCATGCATAGAATCACCATCAGTTTCAGCAGTGTTAGTATCAGCAGTAGCAGAGCCAGGAATGATATCAGCTGTACTTCCAGATGAGTCGGTGGTAGCAGCGTTAGCAACAACAATCGTGTTGTCATCAAAAGTAGTCAAACCAGTATTGCTTTCGCTCTCATTGGAAATTTTGAGTACAGGCAAATTAGCATCAGCAGTAGCAGTATCAGTGTTAGCATTGTTATTATTGTTGTTTTTATGCACATTAGAGCTTGATTGCTCATTATTTAACTTGTTAGCACTAGCGCGGGTGGGCCGCCTTTGTACACTGTTTTGCCAAGCAACAACATTGTCACCGGCTTTGGCTTTTGTTGTTAGTCGTGTAACCCGCTTATTTTCACTTGCACTGGGAGCCAGGGGAATAGCTCCATCACCCACAGAGTCAACGAACTCTGATAAAACACTTTTTATTTTTTCTAAATCAGCAATCGCGATCAAGACTTTATTTTTAAGTGCACGGGTGACACTACAATTAGCACAAAAAGACATTTTGCACACAAAAAAAGCAATAAAAAGCAGTAAAAATGCAATTTAAACGGAGCAGAGAAAAAACACGTCACGTATGGATTTAATTATAAAATTTTATTTATTATTTGTTTTTCAAATAAAAGTTTACAAAATAACAGTTGTGTTTCCTTTTGATACTTTTTATGCTTGGCAACTGATACTTTTTTTTCAAGATCGCGGCAACGCTGCTCTGTGCCCATGTACAGGGAAGGGACCTACAGTTTTACGCCGACCCCGAACGATGTATTTTTATGGGAAGCTGTTTTTCATGGCAGAAATACACTCTGAAGTTTGCCATTGCCTGCCACGATCCAGAAAATAAAGATCGCGCCATTCGCGGAACGCTAACCCCCTCTTCGTCGATTTGACAGCATGCAACCAATCGTTGACGTCATAAAATACTTTCGTTTACATTCACTGTTGCCAACTTGTTGCTTTTCGCACCAAATTTAGTGGGTATTCAAAACTCGAAATTTTTTTAGTTTAGCGCTTGGTGCGTTTTGGTGCTTTTGTTTTTAGTTTGAAGACACCAAATTTGAAAATATTAACAAAATCGAACAAAATTTATAGCAATCGTAAGTGTGGTTAGTAAGTTTACAAAAATTTAAATAAAATCATAGCATAGTGACAATAACAAGCGACAACAAAATATGTGGCAGCACCTTCAATCATGCCAGAAGAAATCGAACGTCGTGCAAGCAACATTGATTTTTATTAATTTGAATCGGTATCCTTACAATAAAATTATGTATGCACATAAAGTCCATAAAATACACCAATAAAAATTTGGTGCTTTTTCAAATTCAAAACTTAGCAATACTGCCTTTTGTTCGATGCTTCCTCCTTTTCTTGTCGAGTTTGTCTTAGGGATGAGACTATACCATAGAAGTATCGGTACCTGTACTTGGAAGTAGCTTGGAAAGAAAGTATCGATACCTACAAAGTATCGGGCTAAAAGTATCGATAC